GTTGCTTCGATTCAGTTCGTTGCTTTGCTTTGCTTTGCTTCAGTTCGTTGCTTTGCTTCCATTCGTTGCTTTGCTTTGCTTTGCTTTGCTTCGATTMGTTGGTTTGCTTCGATTTTCTTCATTAAAATAGTCTGTTAACTGTGACTGCTTTTTCTTGTTAGTAGTATTGTCAGTAGTAACTGTKACTGCTTTGTTGCTTGATTGCCTCAACAAGAGGAGCAAGTTGAATAGCTGATAAGAAGATGGCGTCACCATTGTCATTGTTGTGATCGTCGGTTGTTGAGAATTACCTTMACKATTTGTGTTTTTTTCATAGAATTTGCCTTGTCGAAAATTGTGTCAGTAATTATTCCCAACTGACACCCATCAGTTGAGGGATTTCGATACTGTGCTGGTGAGTAGGATAATAGCGAGGTGTACGTACGTAGACTTGTACATGATTCTATACTGTTGCATTTTTTGTTGCATTACGTTCAAATACCCCCACTGTAATACCATTCGTCCGAACATCGTGTTCGCTTTTCGACGGAAGATAGATATTCTGCGCGCCGGGTGTTCTCAGTCGTACTTCACTCGTGACTCTCTGGCCATCCAATCAATCGCCAGTCCCCAACTTCGAAAAATACCACGGATAACGATGGGATTTCTGTCTTTGTGACATCGCACACCTCAAACACACTCTTTCGAATTCGGATGGCAATGATCTGCACATCGGGGCACCTTTCTCGCTCTTCTATGATTCGTTGCCTCTGGCACAAACATAGAACCAATAGAACACAGAAAAAACGACTGTTTCGAAGAATTGCGACAAATTGGGATACAGAACAGGTTTATTGTTTTTCTACGCATCCTTCGTCCTATCAATATATTCATGGGAGGGTTGGCCAGCCAAAGTCCAGCGAATTCACCAGCCCACATCGAAAATTTTCAGCACAAACCTCTTCAACTTACAGGGATGGAAATACACTGCCGAATGCTACTGTCATAGAGAACGGAGCACCACAACCGATCGTTTCGTCTGAGGAATCAGAAGGCGATGATCTAGTTTTGGAATCATATTTGGATTCCTTTGCGGAAACAATTGAAAAAGATGTGGACAACGCCATTACCGAGATTGATTCCCAGGAACTTTCTGTGAAAGATGCCGGAACCAAAACACGACTTTCGACTCCTTCGGGGGACAACATCGAACCAAAAATCGACGACAATATTCCCGTTCGAGCGAAAAGCACGCTGAGAATGCGATGGGAAAGGGTGATGGGGAAAGAAGACGCGCAGTATCGCAATCGCGGTAGAAAGGGACCGAACCAAAGGAAGTTTAGACTGTCGATAGAAGAGCTATGGGGTGAGGCGCTTCGACGGAATGGATATTTCATCAAACCGAAGCCTGCTGCAGCTGAGCCAGTCTCGATTGAAAAAGAAATAGCGGGAGACGAAGGGTCCGTGATAGACCAGGAAAAAGATTCATTCCAGGACGTCAATCGAGAACTATCTCCTGTCTTTCGATTGCCGGTAAATGAGCAAATGTGTCCCGCGGAATTGGAGGCATCGCTATCAACAAATAGATACGAAACAAACGACGACCTGCGAACTTACGGAGAAAAATTTGAAGTAACGCCTTTCGGTTTCAATGACCCAATAGATGGCGATAATGGAAAACATGATAGAGTCGAGAACCATCGCAAAAGCATTCTTCGAAGTATATCCTTGCTGATAGCGATGAAACCTAAAGACTGGTCGCAGTTTGACTCGGATATCCCGATTGATTTCGAAACCAGAATGGAAAAGAACGAGCCAAGCAGTGACATGGACAAGGATGTCCATGCCCAACACGAGCTGCTCCATGACGAAACGAGTGTCGATCAAAACCAGAACAAGATGAGTAATGTTCGCAACTTCTTGCACCATCTCATGGAGCACAAATACGGGCTGACCACACCAATGGCCAATGTTCTGTTGGCTCATCTCGTTGTGTCTACAGATATGAAAAACAAGGAGATCGGGGACATGTGTTTGCAGGTATTGGAGGAAATGAAGCTAATGGCAGAGAGCGGACAGCGTGAGTGCGGACCCGATTCGACGACCTATCGGATTCTGATCCTTGCGTTCGGTCGGAGACTGCAGGCGATGGGCGAAGCCATAAAAATTGTACAGGATATCACGGAGAATCCACCGACAGACACAACCCCAGAACTCGTGAACGACGCATTGAGAGTTTGTCAAGCAAAGGCAGAACTTTCAGTCGCAAAATCACTGATGAACACTGTTCTGCGCAATCGCAGTGCGAGCATTAACGCACGGTCATGCATTCTATATACAGAAATGTTGAAAACCCAAAAACTGGACCAGGAGGCGATCCACTTCTTCGATCGCATACATGAGGTAAGTACAGTTTCTGAAGTCGAGTACAGACCTTCCCAGAAGCAAGACATCCATTATGTGCTGATCGGGTGTCTCTTTCCATCTTATCCTACAGGCTGGTATACTTACCAAAAATGGCGAAGAAGTATATCTCGAGTCTCTTTGTCGATGGCCCAGGAGAAGTCGTCGCGGAGACGTTCTTGACCTGTCCTCGTTTTGGGCAGAGATTCTATGCATCTTGGAACACAAAACACTTTCCGTGGACAAGCCCGATATCAAAGTTTGGATAACCTTTTTGGAAGGCTTGTACAACTCGGCTAAGAATGACGGTTCTCTCTGGAAGATGGTCGGAAGTGCAATGCGAATGGTTCTCGATTGTTACCCCGGGAGTTTTGTGGGTGCAAAGCTGATGACCATAGGTCTCGATGCAAGCTCATCTGTGGAAGACACGGAATTAGCTTCGATGATCCTGAGACGAGTGGCAGCCCAACCAGGCACCGGCAGCGCAGTACAAGGCCGTGGTACGATCGTTCCGTTCCGCGCCGTGAGGCGTGCCCTAAAAATGTGCGTGCAAACCTCGGACACCGCAAGCGCGAGATCCATCCGAGAATCCCTGGAGCAGATAGGCGACCCGTACCCTTCCGGGGCAAAGTTCGAGCTCCACTCCCTCGTGCTGCTGTGCCACGCCAAGGCCAACGAGACGGAACACGCAAAACGCGATCTCGACGCGATGATCGAGAACGGATCGAGTCCGAGGTGCGTCATGGCCTGCCTGATGGTCGAATCCGAACCCAATATGAATCCCGATGGGAAAGATTCAAACGCACCCTCTCGCTCTTCTCACTTCCATTTGGTTTGCATATAAATTCTATTTCACAGCGAAGAGCTATACAGCGCCGTGCTCCATTCCATGGCGGTCACAAACAGGTTCAACGACATGGAAGAACTGTTCCAATCCATGCAAACGGAAAGCGGCAAGGGAACCAAACCCGGGGTGCTGTCGTACGACGCGATTCTGCTCGCCAGAATCCGGGCCAGGTCCTGGAACGGAGCCATTGACCTGTGCGAGCAAATGAAGGCGGAGGGCCTCGTTCCCAGCGCCCACACCGTCCAGGGTCTGTTGCTGGCAAAAAACCAAACCGGTGGCAGTCCCGCCGTCGCTTCCACGCTGGAGTCCCTCCTGCAGAGCGGTGGCCAGTTCGACGAGACCGCCTTTCGGCTTGCCTGCAGGATGCTGCTCGGTGGCGCGGCGGACGGGAACCTCGAGGAACTGCGGCAGAACATCCGCGGTTTCGGGGAAGAGAGCCCTGCAACGCTGAGAGAGCCCGCCCTGAACCTGGCCCGTTCCATCCGGTCGGCGGAGATCGAAGACGACAGGCGACCTAACACAACCACCGGACAAGCATCCGAGCACGAAACGAAACGGAAGCAAAAAGAAGCTTGGCAAAAAGCGACTTCGCATTTGTTGGAATTTGTCAACAAGCGGCGGAAAACCGAGGAAATAACTAGTGGTAGTCGTAATGAAATATAGCACTTCAGACATCCATTGCATTGATATCTTCCCCATTGCCATCTTGGTACAGGTTCTGATCAGGTTCAGATACCACTTGGGTTCCTCATCATTTGAATTGATTTCCAAGGAATATTTTTTCTTTTTTCATTGCTTTCCGTTTTTCCTCTCCGGAAGGTTTTGTTGTGCAGGCATGTTGATTTGGGCCCTAGGGCGCAATAGCACGGTGTCACTGAACTCCGGGGCTTAGCCTTTCCCTAGAGTCACGCGCGTTGCAAAACAAAAGTGTTTCAAAAACGCGCGAACACAAGAGAGGCTGCTTGATGCATGCCACCTGGAACTATCGTAGTACCGTGAGGAGGTATGGTAGGTACGAAACCACGGCGATCGAATGTTGTACCATCGTTGTCGTCATCCTACCGCATGCCATCTTCAATCACGTTCGCGTTCGATGTTCGCGTTCACATCAACATCATGCATCATCTATCATCAACTCATCTCGAAAGAAGATATATTCCTCTTACCGCAATATACCACTGGTACAATCGGAGTACTGACAGAGCCGAAGCCCAATCTTTCGGCAAGCCTCCGCGAAGAAATAACCGAGAAACAATGGAACCGACGGCATCCGACAGTTTCTCTGCTAGAAGCTTCAAGATGTCCTTCTGCTGGACAGTAGCTTTGGTGCTGCTGGGAACCGAGAGTTCCGTTGCCAATGCCTTTGCTATGGTAGCTGGAACCGGATCTCTTTCGACTCCTATTGAGGCACACGGAACCAGAGCGAGTCACTTGTGGGCGGACAAAATCGAAAGGGACTCCATAATACAGGAAGAACTCGAGCCGCAGGCAAACCTGCCCGCCCGCCGCGAGTTCCTGCAGCAGACGGTGCTGGCCGCTTCTGCGACGGGGCTGCTGGGGGTATCTTCCTCTAGCCCCGCCTTCGCCGAAAGCACCGCCACCGACGTCGACGGATTCACGGTTGTCAAGACAGACTCGGGCCTCAAGTACATCGACCTGGAGGAGGGCGCGACGACGGTTGGAGGAAGGCCGGGGGCCACCCCGAAGTACGGGCAGCTCTGCGTCATCTCGTACACGGGGTACATGCAGCTCCCGAAGGACAACAAGAAGACCAAGTTCGCCTCCCAGTCGGGCTTTGTCCTCAAGCACGGAAACGGAAAGCTGATCCCGGGCCTGGACGAGGGCCTCCACACGATGCGGCGCGGCGGAAAACGCCGGCTCATCATCCCCCCCAAGCTGGGGTTCGTAACGGGCGGCCTGGGGCCGGTCCCGGAGATGCCCTGGGAGCGCCGGACGCTCAACGACCAGCTGGCGAAGATGGTCGAGCAGAGGGGGGGGAACCTCGTCTACGACGTGACGCTGGAACGCTTTTTCGACGACGAGGCCGACCAGGGATACTACGAGGACGACGAGATCTCCCCGGAGGAGTTCGCCGAGCTCAACCGGCGCCTCAACCGGAAGCAATCCCTGGACGCCGTGGGGAACGACATCGAAATCGAGGACCGGGACCGGGCCAAACCAATCGTTTGAGTTCGGTGTGTGATCGGTGCGGAGAAGCGGTGTAAAACCCCGTAGGACCACAACAAACGCATGCCAACCGTCCCTCTTTCGCATGCCGCTCTCAGCGCGAGTCTTCGCTTCCTGCGACTAGGATTGTTCCGTGGAACGAAAACAATCATTCGTGCGATCGCGAGCTGTGTCGTGCCATGTCGTGTAGTGTAGTGCAGCTGCTAAAATAAACGCTAATCGATTATCAGTACGCTATCGTCTTCTGCCAGTCTCATCAGCTCGACCAATCGATCCGTCAGGAAGTCCATCGCGGGAATGGTGCACCCGGATTCCTCGTCCTCGACGACGGCTTCGACGTCGATGCTTCCCGAGCAAACCCCGCTGGTGCTGCCCGCTGCACCACCACCACCACCAACGATGCCGTCTTCGTTCCCCGCCCTGGTTGGCGTTGGCGGCAACGCCGGCGGAATTCCCGTGCCGCTGCTCGGAATGCCATCGGTCTCCGGACCGGTGTTGGACGGGGTGTTCTCCGCCGGTGCGGGACGGCCGTGTTCGCTGCTGGAAGGAACACGCGCGGGTCCGCCGACCGCCCCGCTGTGGAGGTTCTTCTTCTTGTTCTTTTTCTTTTTGGCTTTCTTGCCGGCCCCGTGGGTGCCCGGCCCGGAAGCCGGGTCGTGTGGCACCAGAGACGAGGAAGAGTGGCGGTCGAGGTCGGTGAGCAGTTCCAGGCTCGCGAGTTCCGCCTTCCACTCGTTGCACTGTTCTTGCAGCCAAACGTAGAATTGGCGGGCCAGCTCCCCCCTGTTTATCGTTTCGGGACTTTCCGAGCAGGCACCGGTTCCGGCTCTTTCCTCCAGGATCCATCGCTGCAGCGACAGCGGCAGCCGCTGCCGGGGACCCGTTGCAGCTGAGCGAGGCGCACAAGACCACCGCAGGCAGCGGTCCAGGCGGCCCTGTACGATCCGGACGTGCTTCCACATCAGCACCACCCCGGTGGCCAGGCCGACGACGTCGTCCATCTCGACGAGCCTCATCGTGTCCTTCACCCCGTGCGCCAATCGGACGCTGGAGAGGAGCCACGAAAAGTACCTCTGGCGTTCCTCCGAAAAACAGGCCTCGACGGCCCCGTATTCGTCTCCGAGGGAGCCCGCGGCGTCCCCCAGGAGACGAAAGACCTTCTTGAGGCCTTCGGTCCGGACCCGGTTGATCGCTTCCATTTTGTTGTCCGTTATGGTGTTGGTCCATTCCGTCAGCGCCAGGACCAGGTCCAGGCAGTCCTGGTCGAGCCGCCGCCTGGACTCCCATTGGTCGTTTTCGTCGTTCTCGTTGTTGTGTTCACCGTTTCGGGGCCTGCGCTGCCTCTCCTCCCACACGCTCCTTGCGTAGAATTCTTTCATCGCCAATTCCGATGCGAGCTGCTTGCCCACGCCCAGCAGGCCCTCGATCTTTTGCTTGGCCAGATCCCAGTAGAGCGATCGGTACTCGGCGCTGTTGAAGAAAAGGGGCAGCCTCTGGTTGTTCATGTCCACGAGGCCCGCCAGCCTGCAATAGTAGACATCGGACGCGCGGATCGTCGCTTCTATTGCCCCGAGGTAGGCCGACAACACGCCAAGCTGCAGGTCGGCGCAGTAGTGGGAAAACGCCAAAGCGTGCGAAAAGCACACCTCTTCCAGGATCGGGACCAGGGTGTCGTCCACAAAGCTTTTGCAGCTTTGTTCCACGTCCTGCATCGACCGGATCGCGGTGAAGGAGTACTCCAGGTTTTTGCCCGGGGCCCTGGACACGTTTTCCAGTTCCTTCGCCAGCTTTTCCATCGATGCATCGGACACATAGGGTTTATCCGCCACTTTCTTCTGGATCGCCTTCAATTCCGATTCGTCGCATGCCGGGGAGGCTGTAGCTGCCACGGAACCATCCGCGGTGTCCGATCCCGGGGCAATTTCCCCGGTGCTGCCGTTTTCTTCGGACCGGTCGACCAATAGGTCGACGTCCACGCCGAACGAGAGCCACTCGTGGAAAAAGTCGTCCATCCGCTCCATGGTGAGGTCTCCCTGGAGGAAAAAGTGCTGCTCGCCTCCGCCGGCGCTAGCACAAGTGCTTGCTTTGGGGGATTGTCCCCTGCCGTGTTTCTTGTGGGCACCGTTGCGGGCACCGCCGTCCCCAGCCCTGCGAGAGACGACAAAGGACAGGTGCCGGTATTCTTGTTGTTGCTGCTGTTGCTGCTGCTGCTGGCCGGAGTCTTGGTGGACCACCGTGTCCTCTGCGTCGGTTGCGGTGGGGGAGTAGTTCCCCTCCTCCAGTTTCACATAGTCGAAGGCCTCGTCGACGCATGCAGCGATGCCCTTTTCGTCTCGGTTTCGGTCTCGTTCTCGCTCCCCCTGCCAGAGCGGCCGTAGCACGATTGGCTCTCCCTTGGTCGCACCGCTCTCGAGGATCTCCCGTAGCGGGCCGCCCCCGTTCTCCGTCCCCGCGAGCGGAATGTCCTTCCGCCGGTGGTTGCAAAAGGCGAGAAAGGAGTCCCATTCCTTCCGGTCCCTTTCTCCGCCGGCGTCCCCGATCGCGGTTTCGCGGTGGCCCTCGATCCACGCGTACAGGAGCGACCGTGCTTGCCCGCCGCCGGTCCCGGAGAGGCCGTTTTCCGCTGCCCGCGCAAGAGCCTTTCCGTCGTCGGAAGACGACGGGGGACCGCTCCCAAAGCCGCGCTCGGGGGTCGAGAGAAAGGGCAGGTCCAGTGGGTGGTTCTTCCAGAGATCGTCGCTGTCCTCCTCCCGGACGCCGTCTCGCGGCAGCTGCAGGGGGGAGGCACCGAGAAATGGCGAGCCAAGGTGCACACCGTGAAATCCGGAATGGCCCGAGCCGTCCGGGAGGACCCTTTCCCATCGCTCGGTGCCCTGTTCCTGCTGGTCCTCGTTCTGGGCCATGATCTGGTCGAGGAACTGCGAGGGACACTCCTCGACCGGGAAGCTGTCGTCCGGCGGCAGTAAGGCCAGCAGCGGGTGGTGGCCTATGGTGGCTCGCTCCTTCTCCCTAGCGTTTTTTTCGCACTCGATCTTGAGGGCCTCGTCCATGGCGTCGAGGGAATGGTCTTCCGCCGACATCATGCTCTTGCCGCCGTCGTAGGAATCGCCGTTGTTGATGTTGTTGTTGGTGCCGTTGAGCAGCCGCGAACGCGAGTTCAAACTCCCGTGTTGCGTGTTGTCGTTGTCTTTGTCGTTGCCGTCGCCAAAAACAACGTCTTCCGTTTCGGTGTCGTTGTTTTCTTCCGTGGCGATCACCGTGAGGGGCAGATCCACGTCGTTGTTGTTTTGGTTCGCCTTTCCACTACCCGGCTTGTTCTTTTTCTTTTTCTTTCGTCGTTTCTTCTTTTTGGCCCCCGCGAGGTTGCTGCTGCTGTTGTTGTTGTTGTTGTTGTTGTTGTTGTTGTTGTTGTTGTGGCTGCTGCCGTTGCAAATGCCTCGGCGGGCTTCCAGAAAAGCCCGGGCGTTGGCGTCGGCGACGGTTTCCGCGTCTGTCAAGAGGCTCTCCCTCCTCGCCCAGGCGTACCTCCGCCGCACCATTTGTCCCAGCAGGCTGCTGCTCCGTGCCGTGGGGATTGGCTTTGTGCTTTGGTTTGTGTATGTGCTTGCACCGTGTGCCCGGCCCGGATGCGATCGCTGGCGATTCGGGTTGCGGCGGTGGCCCCTCTGGTGGGCGCTCTCCCGCGCCTCCCCCCCTGCCGGTGTTGCCGTCTTCGTCTTTGTCTTTGTCTCTGCTTCTGTTTCTGCTTTTGTCTCTGCCGCCGCCAGTTCCGGAAAGACGTCCGCAAAGGCATCGGCCAGCAGCAGACCTATTTGCACCAGCGTTTCACCGCCCCGACCGCTTGGCGGTTTCTCGGAAGAGTCCGGCTGTCGCGGTTCGTTGCTCATGGTTGTGGATGCGGATGCGGATGCGGATGCGGATGCGGATGCGGATGCGGATGTGGATTCTACGGTCTGTCTTTGTGTGCAAACGGTTTATGGGTGCACGCGTGAGTTCGTATTGTGTGTCGGAGGGAGGGTTTCTTCTGGGACCGACCTCGACAGAGAGCTGGGTCACCCTTCTCTCCCACTCGCAGATGCAAACACAACCGGCGTCGTCGCGTCTGGAGGTGGTGCTGCCCTGATTCTGTTTTTGTGTTTTTCTTTTTGCCGGTTTGCGGTGCGGTTTGTGCATCAGAGAGATTCCCGCCTGGAAATTAGATAGCTTGGGTTCGTACCGTACGAACGTATGAGTTGCGCTACGGCAATAGAAAATAGAACTCGGTTTCATTTCGTAGAAATTTCAAAAAGCCATTCGGCGGAGGTTCGGCCGGTTGACGATGATACAGCAACGGGTTATGTGGCATGATCAAGTACTTCTAAAATTTACAATACTAGTAGTACAAAACGGTAAATCAGTCATGAGTCATGACCACTTGATCACAATGACCACATTTTTTTGTACGAAGTAAAGTATGGTACGAGTACAAGTACCGTACTTCGTAGTAGTACAAACCAACACAACCAGTCCGGGCAATCGGGTTTGAATCATCGACTTGTTCGAATCACGTAGTGGGAATGATTGGCCCCCGTGAGTTCAAGTGGTAAGAAATGTACGTACGATGCGTACATCGGATCCCTACGACTACGAGTACTTCTCGCATCGACACTCGACACCCAACAAAAACAACCATTTCAGAAATCGAGCAACCACCAGCAACACAACCCAAGACGACGAGCTTATCGCAGCGTACGAATAAGAGAAATCGTAGTAGTACTCGACAAGCATCCAAAGGAATACTATTACCGGCACCACACCACAACGCACCACAACGCAAGCAATGTCCCTGCAGCCGCAACCCTCGCGGTCCGCGGCCCACTCGCTGAAGCGATCGAGGCTCCTGTACGCGGTGGACAAGACGTCGGCCTTTCTCCCGGGGGCGGACCCGACGATCCTGCAGAGGAGCATCGACCGGCGCAAGCGGAGGGTCCCCCTCGGGGCAGCGGTGCCCCCTTCGCCGGGGGCGGCCTCCCTGCTGGCGATCGAGCCGGGAAGGGAAACAAAGACGAATACGAAAACGACGACGATGATGGCCCCCCTGAACAAGAGCGCCCTGGCCCTTCGAAGCGACGAGCCCGGAAACGCTAATGCGAAATCGAACACGAGGCACCAAGAACAAAAGAAGGAACCCCCCGGTGGCGGAATCCTGGTGGTAGGTCCAAGCTGCGGATCGTGGTGTGGCGTTGTGTTGCGTTCCATTCCGTTGCATTCATTTGTGTTGTGGGGCTGGAGGATGCCTTCCCCGGAACAGACGGGAGGTTTTCTTATTTCTTTGGTTTGGTTTGCTTTGGTTAGTTTGGTTTGTTGTTTCCTTCGCCCGGTCCCCCTCACGCTCCTTGTTTCCGCTTCTTCCCACAGAAATCGAACAAATCGTCGAACCGCCTCAAGATACCCACGCCTACGTGGCATGCGCCCTGGAAGCTGTCGACGGTGCTTTCGTCCCACTTGGTACGTGCGGTCGTATGCTATGCTATGATGTGATGCGGTGTGGTATATTGTGATGTGATATGGTGTGCGATGATAGGATCGCATTCGCACGTACAAAGTTGTTGGACGGAGCGAGAGTTGGAGCTCTGGAATGATGTTCGATTCGTCTGTCTGTGGGTTGTTCTTTCGTTTTGTTGTCTTCCGTTGAAAGCCGTGTCAAGGTCTGCCGTCTCACTTCGATGCTTTGCCATTTCTTTCGTTTCTTTTCGCGTGTCTTTCAATCGCCTGTTGTACTCCTTATGGAATTCGATGAAACGATCCTTTCGGTAATTTTATTCCTTGTCCTCTTGTCTCGGTTTCCATTTGACTCGACTCGATTCGATTCGATTCGATTCGATTCGACGATCTACCGAACAAACGAAACAACGAAACAACCCGCCCAACAACTTGCTCGTTAGGGATGGGTCCGGAGCATCGCCATGGATCCGACGAACGACATGTTCGCTACCGGTTCCGCCGATCGCACGATCAAGCTCTGGGACCTGGCCAAGGCCTCCGTCGGGGCCTCCGACGCGCTCAAGCTCACGCTGACGGGGCACATCTCCCCCGTCCGCGGCCTGGCCTTCTCGGACCGCCACCCCTACCTCTTCTCGGCCGGGGAGGACAAGATGGTCAAGTGCTGGGACCTCGAAACGAACCAGGTGATCCGCCACTACCACGGGCACCTGAGCGGCGTCTTCTCCCTCAAGCTCCACCCCACGCTAGACGTCCTGGTCACGGGGGGCCGGGACGCCGTGGCGAGGGTCTGGGACATCCGGACCAAGACCCAGGTCCACGTCCTGGCGGGCCACGACAACACCGTGGCATCCATCCTGGCGCGCTCCACGGATCCGCAGGTCGTGACCGGGAGCATGGACTCGACCATCAAGCTCTGGGACCTGGCGGCCGGCAAGTGCATGACGACCCTCACGCACCACCAAAAGAGCGTCCGGGCCATGGTGGAGCCCTCCTTCGAGAACACCTTTGTCTCGGGGGCCGCCGACTCCCTCAAGTACTGGCAGGCCAAGGACGGGAGGTTCCTAAAGTCCTACACCGGCCACAACGCCGTCGTCAACGCCCTCGCCGTCAACGACGACGGGGTCCTGGTCAGCGGGGGGGACGACGGGAGCCTGCGGTTCTGGGACTACAAGACCGGCTACAACTTCCAGTCGGGGACCTCGATCGTACAGCCCGGCTCCCTGGACGCCGAGAACGCCATCTTCTGCACCGAGTTCGACGGGACGGGCACGAGGCTCATCACGGGGGAGGCCGACAAGACCATCAAGATCTGGAAGGCGGACGAAAGTGCCTCCGAGATGACCGATCCCATCGACATGGTGGGGTGGAGAAAAAAGTGCATCAGGGAGTCGAAGCAACGATACTAGCCGGGCCAGGGCGGGGCGGGGCATGGCGTATGCTTCGGTCGTGTTTTGTGGTTTGTGTGCAAACCAAGGGCGTTCCTGCGAAGACACGTGCCGCGATGCAGCGGGGCGTACCGAGACTCCACCATGGCTGTTGCTCCCAGCAGTTGATGGCCGCAAAGGTGGACACCTGGTCCATGCCGTCTCCCTTCTGCTTTGACGGATGGATAGAAATCCTTCAATCACGAAACGTACAGCACACCGTTCGCTGCGTTGCTATCACTATCTAAGTGTACTCTGATTACACGGTCTTCCGTATGATGTTATCAAAATTTTTCTATAGTTTTCTTTGGTCTACCGAGTCTCCTTTTTTATTGCGTTTGTTTCGATAGTTTTGATTTGATGTCGTCCGTTCTCAGCAGCTGGAGGGCGCCCTTGTGGTCCAACAAAAATTGCCTCCAGATGCCCCAGTGTTCCGGACGCGCGTATTGAAAGGGGGTGCAGCCCCGGTTGTCGGCAACGAACCACAGCGCCGGATCCCGGTCCGTGATCCACCCACAGATTCGCAGCTGCGGGGAGGGATTCCAGCAGGCGTCGTGCAGGACCGTTCGGCCGCTGTCGTCGGAAATCCGCACGTCCACGCCCGCTTGTTGCAGAAGATACTCCACCACGTCCTCGAACCCCCTCCTACACGCCATCGTCAGAAGACTTTCCCCAAAGCGGTTGAAACAGTTCAGTGTTTGGCCCTCTTCCGAATGAAGCTTCTTCAGGGCATCCAGATCGTTGTTGCGGCACGCCGAGACCACCGCCATTGTGTAGGCGGCCACCTGTGCGTCCGTCACCTTTTCAAAAAAGTCTTTCAGCGACTTGGCTTTCTTTGGCTCGAGTTCCATGCCACACGTTGCGAAAACGAGTTTGTGGAGAAACTCGTCCGGGCTCAGCTTGTCGTCCTCGGGATCGGGCAGATCGGCAAAGTTTTCCGTCGCGCCGATCGGGTTCATCTCCAATCGTATGTCGGACGGGTCGGGTTGCTGCATTTCGGTAAGGTGTGACTCGGCCGAAGAATCGCCTTCGCCACCGGCCGTGGAATCCTCGTTCTCCCCGGTTACGCTGGTGGTACTGGGAGACCGCTCCGAATACCGTCTTTTCGATATGGAGCTGGTCATTGGGTCAAAAGAAAGTTGTGTTGGTTTCGTAATAGTAGTGTTCTTCGCAAAGTCTTTCGAGCTTCGTGATTTTTCAAAGTTTCCTTCGGATGCTAACGAACAGAGAGAAGGCAGCAAGTTGTGAGAAGCCCGTGTCTGTGGAGGGTCGTAACAATGTTCCATTTTTGAGAAAGGAGGGGTCAATTTTCCGCGGGGAGCGATTCTGCACAGGTAACTCACGAGCGGCTACCTCGGCTGTAGATGGGGTCGGCGTCCGTTCTGGATCCATCGTCATGTTGAATTTTGAGTGTGCTGCTGGGGGGCTGCTATGCTCACGAGGTGATAGGGGTCGAATTGGGCTGCTAAGGTACTCCTTCATGTCTTTGTTGCGAGGTCGCAAGAATGGGTCAGCACACGGAATGCTTGTGTTTAATCAGTCTTGTCGTTTGAGAAAGGCCTTGGAGTCAGCGCCCGGTTCGTTGTCGTCGACTTTCCGCACCGGAAGTAATGCCCGAGGAAGAATCCCAAGCTGCTGTTTTCTCGGAGACTGATGAGTGACAGGTGGCTTTCTTTGCGCGGAGGATTATCGGCACTAAATTCGTGAGTTGTCGAGTTTTCCGTATTTTCTGCATTTCTCTGTGCTGACTTGTGATCTTTCTTCAATCTTCGTGTGTCAATTTTCTGAATCAGAGTTGGCGTGGCGAACCTCGAGTTTAATTCGCGACCATGTAATTAAAGGAAGAAGAATTTCTCAAGGATCACAATACTATGCAAATCTGCTTTCTTTGGAAACAAAGAAGAACAACTCAGCAGGTTGTAGACTGACAATAGAAAACATCCATGAAACCAACCAGTCGTAGACTTTCGTAGATCTACTATCCTACCTTGTATACCTCCTAGTATGGATAATCGTACCAAGTACGTATCCATGTATTCATACGTACTTACCACTTACCACTAACGTTGCCGACAACTTATCGTAGTGTAAATCACGAGTAGTTAGTGAATAAGAAATGTCCTCTGTGCCAAAAAAAAACAAATACAAATGCAGCAGTAAATTATTATTAGACTTTCAGGTAAGTTCTTGGTGTGTTCTTGGTGTGTTCTTGGTGCTGAGTTACAGCACAGTACTGGAATGGTGGTGTCTTTTTGTTCACATCATGCTCAACCACTTGCTTTATTTTATAGACCACATATAATTGTACAGATACTGGGTAGTAATCCCTTTTTAACCAAACACCTAGACCTACTAGTAGTATTACCTTCCTCAAACATCAAAGCCTTGTTTTGGATGCATACTTCCCTATTACTAGCTTTCAATCCCACAACGAACCACACTTTTGGAAAACCCGTGGGCCAATATACTCGTTATCATTAGTATCAGTCAAGCACTGGCTAAGAGAGGGGAAGAAGATCTTTGTTCGTCTACTAGGGGAGGAAAAGAATTTTTATGACCTGTGTTGGAGGAAAGGAAGAATCGTGTCCGGTCTTCCCAAGGTGAACGACTAAATCCCAAAAAGAAGACTCCGAGCACCACTAACGGTTTGGACAACGGTGCTTAAAAGCTTGCCGAGGGGTAGTAGTATCGAACTGGAGGGCAGATATCGAGAGAAGCCCAAACTATGTACCATAGTCGCGCTCGTGCTCTCGATGCCTACAGTGTTCAGCAATTCCGTATTCCTTTTCTAAAATCCGTTGTGTACCTGCCTGCACCTATTCCTGTGAACCTATACAGGCCCCATCCGGCTTAGGACCGGATCCAGGCATCTTCTAGCTGTAGGGGAAGGATTTTTAATACGTTGTTATACGGTACTATAGCTCGTTGACGAAACACGTCCATCGGAGGTACGCACCCAAACCAATCCAGCGCGGCATTTTTGTGCGGTGTTCCGAAATCCCTTCCTTCGCGACCCAGCCACTGCGCAAAGGGAGCCAAACACCTGGCTCGTGGTTGGCGCAGACCAAGATGCGAAGCAATGCCGCCAGCGTGCCCACCAAATTCGACGCCCGATGTTTCGTCGCCTCGTCCTGCAGCCAAGGGCTTGCGATTGATGTTTTTTGTCGTCTTGGCGGAAACCCAAACCGCGACGGGGTTTGTGCGATCACTACTCGCAGGGTTCGTCTCGTCCTCCCGGGGAGTTGGTGGTTCCGGCGCCTGTCATGCCATGCCATGCCATGCCATGCCGCGCGAAGCGATCGCACCGATTCGGTCCGGCGCTGCTCCGCACTGCGTTGCACCGGTGGTTTGTCCGCCCGGACGGACCACGGAAGCAAGCAAGCACCGATCGATGCCATGCCCATTCTCGGCAATCTCTTGCCTCGCTAGAGCAAGCAGAAACCGATGCGATGCAATGCAATGCAATGCGATGCGCGGGCTTTCCGTGCCGCGTGGTGGCGAGGCGATCCGGGAGTGCCTGCGGTTGCCCCTGCACAGCACAGCACAGCACAGCACAGCATGGCACAACACACCACCATCAAGCCAACGCGGCGTTCGCAGTCCAGCGAATCTCATCCGCGTAATGGTGGGAACGAAAATGCGCGATACCGTGCCGTGCCATGCCATGCCATGCGTCTCCCCTTTGTCCTTTTTGGGATTCTGCAGCGTGTTTCCGGCATTGCGTGTTGTTTTGCACCACGGAACGGCAAAGCGACAACAAAAGGACAGGTTGTGTTTCGTTTGTTTTGTTTCTTTCGAACAGCAGCGGGACACGCCGTTGGGAGTGCCCAAAACAATATCTGGTAGTCCGCCGACACCCGTCCGAAAGGCGGTGGTTTGGGGCCTGTTTTGTTGTGGTTTTGTTCTTCTTCTTACCAATCTCCCCCGTCAAGTCGATCGGTTTCGTTCCGTTCCGTTCCGATCCTTTCCGTTCTCATCTAATCGATGCAGATCGGATCGGTCGCCGTGTCCCCCGGGGCACCGGGGTAGTCAAAGGGCGGGGGGAGCGGGGCCGCCATCGGATCGAAGGAGGCGCCGGGCGAGGGAGCGTGCGGTTGTTGTTGTTGTTGTTGCTGCTGCTGCTGTTGTTGCGCGGAAGAACTTCCCGTGCTCCGCGTCGGAGGCGCCGACCGAGACGGGGGAACCGGTGCGGAAGGAAAGTGGTGGTAGTAGTAGCCGTGCCAATACGGGTACGGGCCGCTTTGCGGGTGGTGCCCGCCGCTGCGCGCGGGTTGCCCGGTGCCGCGGTGCGATCTTTGTCTTTGCTGCGCGGTGGGATTGAAAGTGGGATTGGCGGTGTTGTTGCTGCTGCTGTTGCTGCTGTTGCTGGTGGCCCGTGAAACCTGCCTCGATCGCTTCCGGCTCCTCTGGCGGGGAGCAGCCCTGCGGGCTTCGGCGTCCGCCTTCTCGCGGTCGGCTTCCCGCTTGGCCCGCTCGAGGTAGGACTCCCGGTCCTTGTCCTTGTTCTCGAAGAGGGCGTTGGGGACCGCCACCAGGGTCTCGATCAGGCCCGCGAGCCTTCGCGAGGGAGCCGATCCCTCCACGGGCTGCCGGCACTGGGGACACTCGGGGCAAGAGGACGACGAGGACGACGAAAGGGAAGACGCCGAGAAGCAGCTCTTGCAGAACGAGTGTCCGCAGGGAGCGAGCGTCAGCGGCCGAACCAGAATGTCCAGGCAGATGGGACAGCTGATCTCTTCCGTAATCCTGCTGGAGAATTTTTGTTGCGATTGGGTTTGTGTTTGTCTTTCTGTTTGGGTTTGCCGCAGCTCTCCTTTCTTCTCTGGGAGATTGCAAGTGTCCGATTTTCCGTCTTTGTCTGCCATGGTGGGTGTTCGTTTGCGCTTGGGCTTGCGCTTGCGTTTGCGTTTGTGCTTTATTTGCAGTGTTTTGGATTGCGGAACGTGCGGGATATGTGAAAGGTATCGGTGAATGGAGGAGAGGGTGAAGACCTCTTGTCTGGCAATGGAATCCCTAATGGTCGTGCACGCACGATACKAGAACGACCACAAACCGTTGCTCTGCTCTGCTCTGCTTTGTGTTTTGTGTCCAATATGTGTTGCAATTCTTCGTATTATTTCCTCTACGGAACGTAAAGACAACCAAAAACCAGTTGGAAATGAAAGGGGGGACTGTACGACCTGTTCCTGTACCGGTACTATTGCAAGGAAGACTGTGCTTGGTAGTAGTACTGGTACGAGTACTCGTACAGGGGTCATACTCGTACTCGTACCGTTATCCCCCGAACTGTTGGGGTGTCGCCGCCGTCGCGAGCGAGTGCGAATTCTGGGTGGTCGTAGAAGGAAGTGCTTGGTCGTACCGGTACTGCACGCAACATACGCACCGGTGTCGCGAGTCTCGTGTGCCACTCGATGGGTACGTACGCTCGTACTGATATGTACGTACCTATGGGTTTCCCTGGAGATACGGGAACCGGGAACGCAAGAAAAACAATACAGTACTACTAATCTACCATACGTAGTCTAATCATAGTCTTACTGTACCATAATCATTGTATCAATATTCTATGGAGCATCACCGAACGAACGATTCCTGCCACCTGGTAGATCGAGATTGTAGAGAGCGGTACCGCATGGGTGGCGAGGCAGGCTAGTTGCATAGCGGTTGTGTTGTGGTATTTGTTCGGAAAAACCCAATCGGCCACCGCCATTTTGTCGCTCGTTCGTTCCCTCCGTGTCCCGAAAACTCTCTCTCTCTTCTCTCTCTCTCCTCTAAAAAAATCCGGKCGCCTTTTTTTCGCTCGCTCCCTCGGAGGCTTCCTTCTTCGAAAAGCCAACGTCGGCCAGCTTGTTCTCGGACCCGCCCATCGCCTTGATGTTGAGGGCCTCGTTGCGCAGGAGGGCCATCTCGACGGCGGTCTTTCCCCAGTCGTACCCGTGGTTGTTGTCCCCGGAGCTGCGGGCCTTCACCTGGTCCTCGTTCATGCAGTTGAGGACGCCGTACACGACGGGGCAGGACGTTTGCAGCTGGACGTTCATCAGGCCGGAGGAGACGGCGTCGGAGATGTATTCGAAGTGCATGGTCTGTTGCGTTGCGTTATTTTGCGTTGCGTTATTTAGCGTTGTGTTGCGTTGTGTTGCGTGGGAACGGATCGGATGGCGCAGTGGGTGAGTGATAGACAGACAGGACGGATGGAACGCACGGATCGTTTTTCGTTTCGTTTTTGTTCCGTTTTCGTTCCGCCGACACAAAGGAACCGAGCCGAATTGATTGGATTCGATTCGAATAGAACGAAAGGAAACGATCGTGTTGTTGACTCGTTTCGCATCGCATCGCATCGTTTTGTTGTGCTCGTTCCCAGGAATGGCTTTGGTGCAACGCGGCAGAACGCAAGACAACGCGTCGTTTCTTTCGAAAAGGCAACGCTTGCCAACACGAACCAAAGAACCAAAACCAAGCCACACCAAAACCAAGCCAAAACCGGTCACCACTATTCACATTAAAATTCACGTTAACATTCACGTACCTCCCCCTTGATCAGGACCCCCGCCGTGACAATGGCGTCGACGGTCCCGCTGAGCGCCAGGAATCTTGCGCTGAGCGGCAGCTCGTAGGCCCCCGCGATGCTCGTCTCGAAGATGTTTTCCTCCTTGACGTTGCACTCCTTCAGGGCCTCCTTGCAGCCGTCGACCAGGTTCGTCACGTGCTCGTCGTTCCACCGGGTGCGGATGATCCCGATGCGGACGTCGCTCCCGTCGAGGTCTCCAAAGGACACCTCGCTCTCCGCCGCCTGTGGTGAGGGAGCGGAGCAGGGACGAGACGAGACGAGACGAAGCGAAGGCAAACGGCGGGGAAGGGACGGCAAGGGTTGGATTAGAAACAACAAGCGACAAACGACAAACGACAAACAGCAAATACTGTAACACACAACGCATTGGATGCACAGCGAACGCAAAAGCGAGCTTGCCTACCAGCAAGCAAGCCAGCAACGCACACCCAAACACGGCTCGGCGATCGACGGCTCGGCAGGTGTTGGTATTGGCACAGCACAACACGACACAACACAAGGCACGTACCTTGAGCAGGGACGGAGCGAACGGCGAGGATCGAACAGAAGGGGCAAAGGCGCCCGTCATCGAGGGACTGTTCGCCAGTGCAAGAAGACCGAAGAGGGTGGATTTCATAGTGAGCTTCATTGTGTCTGGATTTGGATAAGAGTTGGTATCGTACAAGCAGAAGTAGTAGTGGCAGCAGCACGAGCAGCAGCTTGAATGGAATTCGTGCGACAAACAATTCTCACTCGGAGCCAAGCCAGCAGAAAGCAAGCTGGATCTGCTCGCGAAGCTTGCGATTGCGATCCGATCGATGAGACAATTCTCATTAATCATGCTCGACACGCGTCCAAAAAAGAACCTTCGACGCATGGTAGGTACGATACTGAACAAAGAAAGGTACGGTCCTCGTGTATGTTGATACAGTATGCATATTCTAATAACCTATGGTACGTAGGTACGGTACGTACCGTATGAATGCATGTTGAGTCATGATCTGCGGCGAAGATTGAGGGGTTGCACTTTCGTCAGCGATCGGTTCATTCGAGAATGCAATGTTGTGGGAAAAAAATACGAAAAACTTCTTCTAGCACTTAAACACCGAATGCAGTTTGTTCGCTAACATTCCACCCTCCGACACGGCGTTGGTGTTTAGTTTCGTTTCGTTTAGTTTAGTTTCCCCCGCAGCGTCACAGCGTCAACTAGAAGTACAACCCTGCGTTGTTTTCTGTGGGAACACATACCTTAGAAATCCAGTTTGTTGCTGTCCGTGTGTGTAACTGTAACATCCCCCACCAGGATGGACCACCTCTGACGGGGAAGAATGTTTCACCGTCGATTCCTGCCGGCGCGGACCGCAGCGCCCGAGCTGTTGTTGCTGCTGCTCTTGCCGATGCTTTTGCTCCGGGGCCTTCCCGGGTGCTGCGGCCTGGCGGCAAGACTTGCGGTTCCCACCCGTTTGAGGAACACGATAGTCCTCGGCGGCCCTCGGTCCCCCTCCCCCGCACCTCTGTCTCTTCCTCTCAAGCGCCACGGGCGGCGTAGCTGCAGCAGCAGCAGAACCGCGCCGCTGCCGGCCCGGGCGGAGGTCCTGTTCGGGGAAGAAGAAGACCCTTCCGGACCAAAGGGCATTCTGTCTCGCAAGGCTCCAAGGGTGGTCGCTGCCGCCGCTTCCGCAATCCTGCTGCTCGGCCTCTCCGCCTGCCTCTCCGCCCGAATTTCCTCTCTGGTTTCCCCTCTGGCGTCCTCCCTGGCCGCCCTCGGCCCGTCGCTCCTCCGGAGGCTCCCGGCCGCCGCACCGATCCGCACCAGGCCGCTGGCGCTGGCCCTGGGGATCGTCCTAACCGCGAGGGCTTTGGCATTGGCTTTTGGGGCCGGGAGGCGGCGGGCCAGGGACGCCACCTCGGAGTGGCAGCGGTACGCCGAGCACCCCGGGGCACGCGGCCGGGCGATCCTGGCGATGGTGGCGAAGCAGTCCCTGTGGATCGCAACCGCGGCGGTCCTCGGCGGCCTCGGGGCCAGGGCCCGGTCGAAGAGGCTGCGGAGGCACGCGGGGGCGGCCTTTTCGGCGTCGCTCCTGGGGCTCGGCCCGCTCTACGTCAAGCTCGGGCAGATCGCCTCGTGCCGCAAGGGTTTGCTCGGGGAGGAGTGGATCGAGGCGCTGGAGGACCTCCAGGACAGGGTCCCCGCCAGGAAGGGCAGCGAGGCACTGGAACTCGCGCACTCGGCCCTCCCGGGCGGGAGGGACGACTTTGACAAGTGCTTTGTCGACTTTGACACGACCCCGCTGGCGGCGGCCTCCCTGGGACAGGTCCACAGGGCGAGGCTGCGCGACACCGGCGAAGAAGTGGCCATCAAGGTCCAGCGGCCACACCTGAAAAAGATCTACGACAGGGACCTTGCGCTGCTCACCGCCCTGGCCCGCTCGATGGACAAGCTGTCCAGCCTGCGCTCGAGGGGTTCCGGGGGGGCCGGGCCGTCGTGGACGCAGATCTTTGCGGACGCCGAGGCCATTCTGTACCGGGAGATCGACTACCGGGACGAGGCAAGCAACGCGGCGCGCTTTGCCTCCGACTTTGGCCTGGGGATCGGCGGAACCAGCAACGCCACGACCACCGCGCTGGCCCGGAACTCCAAACCGATGCCCGAGGCCTCGTCTTGGATCCGGACGCCCCACGTGTACCCCCACCTCTCGAGCGAGCGCCTGCTGGTCCAGGAATACGTCCCGTCCATCAAGATCACGGACGGGCCGGGCCTGGACGCGGCCAACCTCACCGCGGAGGACCGTGCGGGGCTCGCGGACGACCTGGCCCGGGCCTACCTCCGCCAGTTTTGCTGCAACCTCTTTTTTTCCACGGACCCCCATCCAGGTACGAACGATAAAAAAAATGCAACGGAACGGAATGAAAAGAAACGAAATGAAACGAAACGTACGGGGAAATCGATCGCGAACCACGAATCACCATCGGGGGGTTGGGTTGGGTTGGGTTGTGTTGTGTTGTTTTGTGTTGGCGCGGGAACGATCGATGCACACTCACGACCGTGCTGTCTTTGCTGTTTTCGTTGACACGCACAGGTAATCTCGGAGTGGAACTGGTACCGACGGACGGGCACGACGGAACCAACCTTTCGACGTCCACGAGACCAAGATTGGTCATGTACGACTTTGGACAGGTCGCGACCCTGACAAAGAGCCAAGCCGACGGCATTCTAGAAATCATCGAAGCCATTATTGACACCGACGTGGAACGATCCATTGAAGCCTTTCAAAAAATGGAGGTGCTAGTGGAGGATGCCGATCTGGACCAGGTGCGACAGAAGGTTGCCGAAAATTACCGGTGAGTCGAAACGATGCCATGCATGACTTCATGGAACGAGACAGACAGGCAGGCAGGTAGCAAGCCAGCCAGTCAGCCAGCGACCAGAAGCATCTTTGTGCTCCTACTAACCCAGCACTGCATGCATTTGTATTTGGAATTGGAATGAAGAACGGGGAAGATAAAAGCCAACCGAAAAAAACTGCGCCAAAAAGGATTCACGTTTCGCGACGACGACAACGACGGCGAATCAGGGCTTCTTTCGGCCAACAAGACGACGGCAGCAGCAGCCGAATCGCAGGGAGGATACAGCGAAAGCCAGGTAATGTCCTCCTTTACGCTGCCAGCAGAATACGCGTTCGTCGCCCGTGCAATTTCGCAGATGGACGGGGTGGGAAAATCTCTGGATCCCGACTTTGATTTCATTTCGAGTGCCGCGCCCTACATTGTCGAAATCAAGGGAACCGATCTCTACCTCAAGGACGAGGCCACCAAGTTCGCTCGCTCGTGCCAGGAACGACTGGAGATGCTACGGGATTTCTGGACAAAGGGCATTCAAGCGTGGATCTCGACATCGACGCAAAATAAATAAATAAATAGCTAGCGAGACAACCAAATGCAAGCAAGGTGCGCAACGCATTTTTTGGTGCTTCTTTGGTGCAACCCGCTGTACATTTGGTTTGCATCGGCGGAACGACAGCCTTTGACTGCAACACGCAGGATTCGAGGCCTCGTGTTTTGAATGCCCGATGATTCGTCCCACTCGTGATCCGTGTTACACTGTGTAACGACAACAAAAGTGATACTTGTGATTAACAATGGTAAATGCATGTGATTAATTTAAATACTGTCAAACCCAAAGAAAGCATAGAGTGATTCAATCGTCAACAACTGCAGGGTTGCCATCGGTGCGAAACGCGCCCAGCTGGTAAAAAGAAACAGGAAAACATGAGATGCACGTGCACACAAAAAGGTGTTCGACAGGCCGTCCTAAACATGGAACCAAATCACCATTTCATCTTGTTCGTTTTGTTGACTTACATTGGTACAAAACCTCTCCATAGACTCAGTGGCCCTTCCTGGCTTACGGTCTTGACGAAACAGTCGGACAAACCGGTGTAGAGTTTCTCGTTCGTTGGTTGACTCATGAGCTTGGTTCGCACCCGATCAAAGGGAGCCACGGTGCACGTCATGAAGAAACCGGCGAGGAAACTAGAGCAAAACGCCGTTCGGGGATCCTTGCGGGTCCACCCGGTGCTCTTTACTACCTGTCCCTTGGCGACGTCATACACACCCATCTTGGTTGCGTTTAGCACAATGGCTCTCATTACGTTGACGCCGACACCGCGGTAAAAACCCGCCACTCCCTGGTCTTTGTACATCTGACCGACGAGTGTGGAGAGGGGAACAGATTTGCCCTTGTTGGTCTGGCTCAGGGTCTACACCATAGTCGTATACATGAATATGATCGGAAGCGGTGCATTGAGATTAGTAAAGAAATTGAAACAAGATTCCATTAGCAGTCCCTCTTCTGTATTTCTTACCTTCAACACGTCGAAAGGGTTGCTATGCACGCATGAATATGAGATCGGGAACGCAGATTTTCAGAAACAGGCATTCTCTTTCACTACGATTTGACACTGTGCTGCGGTCAAGTTGTGAAATCGACGGGAGCGATCTTATACGGAACAACACAATATAAAATAACACTGCAAGGCGACCTCATTTTTGGAATTCTTACCCGGCTATCGATCCGATCGCCCCGGTCATGGCGCCCGCCAAAAACTTCATGTAGACTGGCGAATCGGGTGCACCGGCACCGATTGCATCTCTTACGGGAGCATAGGCTTTTTTGAAAAGAACGATTACAACAATATAGGCAAGTGAGAAGACGTTCACCAACGCAAAGCAACAATTGGTTAGAGCAGTGGAAATTTTTTTTGTTTCGAAGCATTCCAAAAAGTTAGAGTACGAACAAAACAACAGTTTTTGTTCTTACCTCCAAGTCGGATAGCAGTGTAACTATGGTGCGAAAATGAACAAACGAGAGCGACGGTTTAAGTGGGAGCATATTCAAAGGAATAGAATAACGAAACAGAACACAACACAGCAATTTTTTCGTCTCGTATTGAGCTCGCATCGAGAATCAAAAATTTGCGCTTCTCACCTTCCCTCTCTGCAATACGCCCATGGAAGTCCCTGAATACACAGGATGAGCACCGATGAAGGAAGAAACAAAAAGTAAGTATAATTGTTCGGTTTGTTTCAAAGACATGAAGCCGCGTCGCAATGCCATAGATTGAATCCCATCCGTTAGCTCGATGGAACGCAATTCTTACCTTCCAGAATGCCACAATACCTTCGTTCTTAGCTGTATCCGAAATTGTTTGAATGACTCCCATGTTGTTGACTTGCACCCGAGATTTTACGAGTTCAATTGGGTGGGTGAAATTCACAGCAAAGACAGCGGCTGTTCCGCCCATGACAGTGGACTGCAGAATCGATGGGACGTTCTTATTTGAGGTAGACATCTTGCTTTTTTTGTTTTTCTATTGCCTGTGGTCTAAAGGTTGTGAAAACGTGAATTAACAAAACCTGTTCTCGTCTTCGTGAGATGAAAAACTAGAGGTACTTCGTACTTCCTATCGAGAACAGATTTGACAGATGATTTTTTTTCTCATCGGTAGTTTGTATTAGACACACTACGTACCTCGTACCGTAGCATTTGTCTGGTTTCTTGCAGAATAATTCCACCGATGATACGAAATGTCTTCTGAAAATCTTCGACCTCTCACCTTCGTACCTCTACTACCGTTCTCACCTCATATGGCGCGCCAAATTTCGTTGTCTTCGGTCGACGACAAGACAACTGCGTGACTTGATCGCGCGTCCTTTAATGGGTGATTCCCGTTAATAGAAATGCTAAATTTGATAGACAGACAGACCCAAAATCTATGACAATTTGTCATAGATTTAGTACTTTTAGATTGGGTCAACCGACCCCATTCTAAGTGTGCTAAATCTGCATCTACTTAAGAGTACACGTAATCTTGTGCAGCATCAAGTGTCCACATCCAGTGTCCTCATCCAGTGTCATCGTCCTCCATAATTGATATGACCGCTGAAAAATATACAGATCATCTGTTACTAGTATTTGGAACTCGTCCTGCTCTGCCCAATTCAAATCTCTATTGCTCTACTTTTTGAAAGTACTTGGCAGCCCACCAGAGATTGATTGAGAAAAACAGAACACTTTGAAGAAATTCAGAAGAATGCTAGGATCTACTCATAAAGTCTATAAAGTGTGACAATCGATGACGGTGTTAGTGACAATGCGGAAGCGTTGTCGAAGACGATGGCGGTGACGAGCGCATGYGCTGTCRATGYGTTGTTCAAAGGTGTGTGTCGACGTTGCGTCGGTAGAGTTCGTATTAAGGAGAGAGCACGCCTAAAAAA